GAGTTGAAATCCACTCATCTTAAATTTGCCAAGTTTAAAAAGCACTGCTCTAAATGAACATCTCTCTCCACTTGTCTTTACATCTTACAAAATGCTCTTATTTCCTACTAACCACTATTTAAGAATTGATAGATTCTTGACTAAGCCTTTCTCATCCTCATACACCTACCCTCACTCCATGATGTGTTTGGGTTATGCTTACTGGGAATTCTGGGTGTTATAATCTCAATACATCTTGAGGATGGGAGAAGGCAGGATTAAACCAAGTCCTGAAAAAAATATTTTTGTTCCTCTTTTATGGAATTCATTATTTTAAAAAAAAAAATCACAACAAAGCCCTTTTTGATCACAATGTTTTGATTTCTTTGCTAATATTCCAGCTTTGGTAATGTTCTCCTTCCTCTTTCTATCTTTGATTTTTGAGTTTTATGGTTGTCATGATGGTTCATAGCAGCTTATGAGGTTAACCCAAGAAATCATTTCAGAAGTTATCTACAGCCTTGCTATTATGACCCCAAGAAGTTTCATACTGCCTAGGGCAGAAGTTCTTGAAGTGTGGTCTGGGGGTCCCTGAGACCCTTTCACAGAGTCTGAAAGTCAAATAAATATTTTAAAATCTCTCATTTTTAATTTCTAATACAGTAAATGTTGATAAATACAACCCACATAAACCAAAGTGCTTTGGGGTCCCTAATCATCTTTAAGAATGTAAAGGGGTCTCGAAAACAAAATATTTGAGAACTGCTGGCTTTGGTGATTTGCATCCCATACAATCCAAGGTTGAACCAAAGTGTGATTTTCAGATAAAGGCACAGGGGGGCACAGAGATTAACCTGTGCAAGCTTACACAATGACAGCACTTTCTCCAGCACTCAACAGATTCCACAGAAGAAAGAGATCCGTCCTCTTCCCCACTCATTAAAAAAGTGACTTATTATGCTGATATGAAATTGTACACATTTCACTGCATACGTTAGGATTCTTAGATCTTCTCATAATGAAAGAATAACTAAAAATGTCTAATTCAGGCAACAAAGCAATATACTATTTAGCAGCTAGAAAGTCAGATCCATTTCTGAGAAACACTTAACTACAAATTGATTTTGGCAAACTGAATTCAATCTTATAAAACTTCTAAGCCACTGAAAGAGTGCTTTGGCACACTAACTTGGCTGGTTTGGAGAGCGAAGTTTTCTAGAATTTGGCAAACTATGACCTGGATGCATTCACAGGATCAGTTCACTACATCAATATTTTCCTGAGGTTGCTCATGTCACAAAAACTCCTGACAATTGTCTGAATTAGCTTAGGGTGGTAAAGAGTGAAAATCAGGATGCAGGATGTGCTATGATCTGCTTAAGTCCTAAACTGAGGATTTGTGATTGGGAACTGCTGTTTCCTATAAATCAGGCTGGCAGTCACATTAAGTTACCTGTAAACTGAAGGAAGGAAGAACCATCTAACTGTGACCCACTGCTTTGTACAATAAGGAATAAACAACTATTGTAGCCAATACTTTTCGAGAAGGCCATAAATTGCTTGAGTGATCTGCACCCAAAAGTTGTTTTTCGAAAGCCTTTAGGTTGAATGCAATATCAAGTTTACCAAAAGCTGCCCACTGACTCTTGTATTCCTTTAGAGCTCAACTGCTGCTAAAAAGTAGGCTGCCCTTCCACCTGATGACATCAAAGCAATTAAACAAATGTTGAATAGGCATGACGGTAACATCACTGTTTGCTGAGTCCCAATGCAGATTTAGAACTGCTGTTGTCTCCTGATTTGGGGAAGGATGATAACTTTGAGCAGATGACTTGCATTGGATAGATCTCACAGTTGCAAACATCCTTAGTTGGTAGCTGGTAATCCGGAAAAAAAAAATCTACTAAAGAACTTAGAAATTCTCTGCAGTCAATCCCAGTAGAGAGATTAGATAGGCAACTGATCTCACCTAACGTGCCACACCTTTTTATTTCTCTGGAAATTTGCTTATAGCTTTTGTTCTATGAGTGCAATTGACTACATCAAAGGTTGTCAGATCATGTCAATATGTAGAACATATTACAGCTAATGGGCGTTTCAGAGCCCCAGAATATTCTTATAAGGAACCTTTACAATGAGCAAGAAGCTATTGTAAGAACTGAATTTGGAGAAATTGAGCGTTCAGCATAGGAAAGGGATGCATATTGTCTCCATATCTGTTGAACATCTGCAGCAAAGATATTGTTAAGAACAGCAGGGATGGATGTGATGACAGATGGAATCAAATTGGAGGCCAGAACGCTAACAATTTGAGATCTGAAGATGATACCACATTGTTAGTCAGAAGTAAACAAGAATTAGAAGAGCTCATTAGGAAACCAAAAATGAAAAGTGAAAAATCTGGGTTAATGATAAATATTAAGGAGATAAAGGTAATGACAACCAGCATGCTTAGTGAACTTACAGTTGTCTGTGAAGAAGTAAAGGTGGCAGACAGTTTTATTTTCTTGGACTGAAGAATAGGTAAAGAGGAACAGTGTGTAGGAGAAGTAAACAGATTAATCCTAGGGAAGAAGGCAATATGTCACACTTCAGCCTGGTACAGCTGTAAATTTAGGCTCTGCAGATTCTCAACCCCTTATTCTGGAATTGACTTACTAGGTGGCAGACATTTAGACACAAGTCAACTAGTGCAGATATTTTATTGTAGACAAGAATGAGGCCACTACAACAGACCATCTGTCCACTGAAGTACACAGCAACCAAAACCTACCTATAGGTCATTATTCCAGTGTTTACATTCTAGAGTTTCTCCTCCCATCTTTCTTTGTTTAATACACATTTGATCATTTTCTTCAAGGTCATAAAGGTAACTAGGATTAACTGACTTAACAGTTCATATTCATCTGGGAACTGCTGGTCCCTTCCACACCAGCTTCATTCCCAACAATGAAAAATTCAGACAAAAAAAAAACATGAATAAGGATATTTCTAGGACAAGAAAGATCAGAACTGTTAAATCAAAGGTCTTTCCTGTGGTAAAGCGTGCCAGTGAAAGTTGGATATTGTGAAAGAACAAGAGAAAGAAGGTAGATGTATTTAAGTTCTGTATCTGAGGATGGTTACTAGGAGTACTATGAATTACTAAAAGAACCAGACAATCAATGCTGGGCCAAACAAAAGCTCATTGCTTCCCTGATCAAGAAACAAAAACTTTGGGCATATACAGTAATATAAAGAGATGAAGGAATTTATTACGTTGGGCAAGATTGAGGGCAATCAAAGAAGGGGAAGACTGCAGGTAAGGTAAATAGATAGAATCAAAAAGATTACTAGAATGTCCTTGGAAGGAAATACCAATTATTACTGGGGACAGGTCAAAAGAGCGAGCATGTGTCCATGTATTCACCAGGAGCTGAGTCAATGGCACCTAGCTCACTTACTTATGGAATTTCTCTCTCACCAATAAGAATTAAAGAGTCATTTATAACTTTAGACTGAAGATTCACCTTATCTTTGAAACAAGCAATCTGATTCTCCGAGAAAGTAAAGAAAGCTCCAGTTCACCTGTCCACCCACCCATGTTATTAACAAAATCATGGGGTAGCTAATACTGAAATAGTTTGCCACTGAGATAGTTTGCAGTATGAACCAAGATCTCTAGTGGCCAATTTGACAAACACTACGAGTAAGTGATTCTTCCCTCTTAGAAATCCAGGGAAGGATAATGCTCTGGGTAGCCAGGTATTCATGCGGAGAATTCACTTAACATTATGAGCTAAGCATAGCAGTGGAGAGAGACTCATGCTTTTCTAGCACCCAAGATTTCAGTACCTCATTTGAATAAAATGGCAGCCATAATCTCATGTAGTTCTAGAGCAGCTTCTAGTAACCTGGTACATTATCAATAACAAAGAGTTTTGTCTCTGCTTACCATACTTCCAAAGTCTTATGGTAGCCTTATTTAATTAGCCAAATAACATACACTATAACTGGCAATTCCTAGTCACATTTTCAAAGACTAGGAATTCTGATTCTGTGGTCCCAGAACATCATGGAAGACTATGGACTGAAGGCATATGATGCAACCATCCTGCTAAATGTATTGTCAAAGGCTTTCACGGCTGGAATACAATGGCTGGTGTGGGTCTTCCAGGCTGTGTGGCGGTGTTCCCAGAACACGGCCACACAGCCTGGAAGACCCACACCAGCCATCCTGCTAAAGCTAAGAAAACTAAGATTTAGATTTCTTCTTCTCCTGGGTGAGAGATCATTTTGGAATTCTACCCATGCCATTAGTAGGGAAGTAAAGCAGAATATAAATGAAAAAAATAATCTGGGAAATAACCATGATAGCTCTGTGTCTCATAACTTGACCAATCTCTTACAACAGTTAACTTCTTAAATTATTCTTCCGACAAACAAATACATCTTTCTGCTCCTCCTATGTCATCTATTCCTCAGCTCCAAATGTTTGCATTTTGAAAGGGCATTACAGGTAGCCCTCGATTTACAACCACAACTGGGACTGGAACTTCCATCGCTAAGCGATGCAGTCATTAAGCAAGTTGCGCCCGATTTTACAACCTTTTTTGCCGTGGTTGTTAGACGAATCACTGGTTGTAAGTTGTTTTTTCAGCACCATTGTAACTTTGAACAGTTATTAAATGAATGGTCGTAAGTCGAGGACTATTTGTAATCCTGTCTCTCTCTTCTTTCCAAATTCAACTTCTTACAATGATCAAAAGGCTTATACAGAAACAAGGGAACGAATGAAAGAGCAAGTGTATATCATCATCATCATCATCATCTGCTAAGCACAATCCAAATTCAAAGTCCTCCCTCTCCCAAATGAAAACAAGTTGTCTCCAGATGCAGATGTGTTACTTAAAAGGGGGTGCATCTTCTCCCCCCAAAAGATGGGAGTAAGGAGAAAGCTCACAGGGGGTTGCGTGGGTTCTCAACCAGGAGAGAAAACTGTTTTCCAGATTGATTTAACCTTTGCCTCTTCCATCACTTACCTGCAGTTGCAGTGGGCCTAAACCTGGGGTTGCTGCGGCAGCCGCTGCCATTGTTGTTGGGATCAGCTGAACGGGATAAGGGTCACCTAAGTAAGAAAATAAGAGAGGCGTCAGCACCTTTTATCTACTCTCCACCTGCAAATTAAACTCCTGCATTCACTCCTTCCAAAAGCCTCCTTTTGTGCGCCTCGCACAGTTCTAATGAAAAGCTCCATTGTGAGGCCTTTTACTAACACTCTTCACAATTCTGGCTGAGGGAGGAATGCGAATAAAAGGGACAAGCAATTAAGGCGGAAACATCATCCTTTTTCATGATGTATTTAGGGAAATGGGGAGGGTGGGGGGAAGCGCACATTGATCAGAGGACTGAGCTTCCAAAAAAAGGGGGGGGAAGCATGAAGGAAACAGAAGAAGAAGGAGAGAGAAAGAGAGAGAGAGAGAGAGAGAGAGAGAGAGAAAGAAAGAAGAAAGAAAGAAAGAAAGAAAGAAAGAAAGAAAGAAAGAAAGAAAGAAAGAAAAAGAAAAGACCTTGATAAAATCAGCACAGATGATGGGGACAGAAAAAATTACAGGTCTGCCCACAATGGGTGCTTAACCAAGTGCAGTTCACTTTGAGGGAAGCCACAGCACAAACCTTCTGCCTTTTGAGGTGATGAAAGGAGGGTCCAATTTGTGCATTTCAATCATTCCCCTATATTTGCACCACTTACATCTCTCGGTCTACCTGCCTGCCACCCCAGCCAGGCCTGGCTTGGATTCACTTCATCGTCAGCTTTGCGGAAGAAAGTTTCTTAATATACCAACCACCCCAATTGCTTGAACAAAGCATCAAAGCCCTATTGAAGGATGGGGTGTTGAAAAATGTATTAGCTCAATTTCACAGAATCCCTGTGGAGGGTGGAGAGAAACATGGCTTTTTTCCCTCTCTCTCTCTGAAAAAGGTTATAAAGTGTGAGCCTGTTCTGAACAGGGATGAAGGACATTTGCCCACTTCTTCTGGATAAAATGGGGTGTCCAGGTGTTTCTCACCTGGAGGGCCTCACTGAGATTTTGAGTGGTGTCCTGGGAGGAGTGCTCTGAAAAGTTTTGGGTGGGACCAGGGGAACACCTACATTTCATTTCATTTCCTCCCCATTACATTAAAATTACATTACATTACAATTGATGGTTATGTATTTCATGATCTCTCCCTTCCATCACATTAAAAATTACAATTTTGGAAGCTTTTGGGAAGTCACATTCAAGGTTTTCAAAAACTGCCTGTGGGCCTAGGGCCTGGGGTTATAGATCTCTAATTTAAACAAATGAAATGCATGGAAGCCATTTATATACACAACCACCTCTGTTTGTTTGTTTGTTTTAAAACACCCTTTTTCTTCATATTTAAAACTTGGTTAGAATTATTGTGCGTTATCAAAAAAGTTACAAGAAAAGAAAAGAAATAAAATAAAATCTCTCCTCTGGACATTTCCTTTTCCTCTCCCTACAAATAAATTTTGGTTATATTCAAGGAAGGACTTTCAAAGTTACTGAATCTTGCTCCGTGCTCCTACCTGATATGCAATGCTTATTTTGATATTCCATTGTTGTGCAGAATGAGTTAACATTTGGTTTGCAATCAATAGATATGCTGTGCTTTTATATATTACTGTCCTTTCCAAAAGACTAAATATTTAAAATGTTTAAAATGTTTCCACCTCATTAATGAGGATCATTGGAGTATTTATGCATGGGCCAATGATGTGCTAACAGAAATTACTGGCCCAACAAAGTCTTTAGAAATAATACTTACAATGGTACATTCATTAGGAACATGCACAATCTAGGTGCATTTGAGAAAGCAGATACAATATGTTTCTTAATTTTGCTTTTTTTCTAGTTAACAGAGGAAAAGTTCAACTTTTTTTTACCAGAATAATCAGTTTGCTTTGATCTTGTTCTGAAGATAATATTTTAAATCGATGAGTTTATTTTCATGAAACTCATGGATGCTCCATTTCTAACGTGTTATAGACAACTTCACCAATGCATGCTCAAAATCAGATGACAACAGGGAGCTTTTAGTAATGCCTTGCAGGTATAACTAGGGCTATTCTAGACAGAAACAAACTTCTCAAATAACCTTCAGCACAATCACCTAGTTCATACAATGTAATAAATCTTAATATGGTTTATTTGGTTGTGGCTTAGTTTGTGTAAACTATTGCATTTTTTTAGAACATGGATTATGACTTAGCATGTTGTGTGAACTCAAACAATGGGGTTTATTTCATAAATCGTAGTCAAACCAGGGCTTAGCACAATATGCAAACCTAATGTTTTTCACATATTCACTAGGGTTTTGGAGGAGCTGTATGGGAACATGATTTGAGGTGCAGCAGTTCACAGAATCACAGAAGAGTCAACTGGTTAATATGGTAAATCCAATTTAAAGCATTACTAACAACCATCTATTCAACCCTGCTTAGATAATTAGTTCACTGTCAAACTGCTCATACTGCCTACCATTCAAGCAAAACCTGTATTTTTTTTTTTTCATTTTCTTCTTGGGATGATAGAGAACAAGACTTGGTTTCTATCCGTGCAACACCCCTTCAGATACTTGAAAAGTGCTAACCATCATTCATGTTTCCTTAAGCTACTCATAATGTCACAGGACTTAGTTTTCAGCCACTGACCATTCTCATTGCCCTTCTTTATGCCTGCTCCAGTTTGTTTAAATCCTCCTTAAGTGTACAAGGGAGACAGGACTGCTGCTTATTTGCAAATACAGAAGAGGTTAACAGGTGGGTAGGGAAAGGAGCATCAGAGAGTTCTAAGAATGGACAGTGAATTCCCTGCTGGTTTACGAGCCTTGGGAAATTCTCATCAGTGTTGTCCCTACTGCCAACCCTGCATTCAGTCATGAATGTTCAAGGGTATTTAAATCGCTCGAGTCAAATTAACTTGTTAGGCATACTGCAGATATTTACTTATTTCGTTCTCCTGAATGTACACACAACTCAGTCACTCTTACCTATTCCAGTTTAAATGCTGCAACTCAAAGACATGGACAAAGTTCTCAGAAAGGTGTGGGTAGCAACTTCCTTGCCTGTCCTGCCAATTTAAAAGCCCTAGACAAACCTGCTAAGTATGGGTTAAGAGGAGTAAGCGCCTTGTTGCATGAATAGATGGTCCCTACTATTTTCCATTCTTGAACAAGGTGATTATGGTGGTTTCTCTTGACAAGCATTTCTGGATGAAGTAAAATGTCCAATCCATTTCAATTCAGTTGTGAGGAGCTTGGGACCTGAGATAGCCACAGTGAATGGCCTAGCCTGAATACAGTGAGTCTTCATTTATAGATATGGCAGATTTGGTGGCCTATTATTATAGTAGCTTTAGTAGAAGGTTGCAGGACTCCTGTTTGATATCTTGAGTTTAGCCTGCTACGCACATTACTTAATATCTACATGAAACTGTTCAGGGAAGTTATTTAGAGATTGCGATCACTGAATAAAATGACATCCAATCCAACATTGTTCCAGGAGGCAAGCATGATAATAAACCATTTTCTGGAGATGTTAATCAACTGAACATGAATATTATCGAGCAGCTTTCAATGAAGAGTGCTAAGAAGGTGATAGAAAGCATGATGAACCTGCTATGACTCTTCACATGGTTTGGTGTTGCAGTAGAGGGGAGAAAGGAGTATGGTAAACATTATATTGTAAAACGTGTGGGTATCTATGATAGAAGATGATATTGACAACTGCTAACCATGCCACCTTTTCTCCAAGAGAAGACATTGAGTGTTGCCAGTCTGCCAGTGTCTACATGATTCTGGAAGTAATGCAAGAATTGTCTTACTGCGCTGAACATTTTGACCTGATTCAAGGTACCTGATTCCAATGCCAGCTCTTTCTGCCCTCTAAAAGGGTGAAGAAACTGAAACCTGTGTCACCCACTGCCAGTGACCTAAGAAACATGGCCTAATATGCTATGCACCCTGTAGGCCTTTTACTGTGACCAACTTCTGAGGGTACTCTTGGCTATTGTGGCACATCTGGGCAACCCTGTCTGGGCTCAGAAGCTAAGCAGGGTAAAGCTTGATCAGTATTTCAGTGAGAGATTATAAAGGAATTCCAGGGCCATTTGGACAGACTATGAAGTTGAAAAAAAGTATCTTGGAAGAAGCCAATGGCAAACGATTTCCATGCTCTTGCTGAGAAATCCACATAGATATATCTCCATAGTTATCAAAAGTTAAGCTTGACTTGAGAACATGTTTAACTTATCCTAGTTGAAAAGTAAGCTATAAATAACGGTTGTAAGAAGGATGGGAATTCAAGCACAAACTTGATCTATAAAACATGCAACATATATGTTATACAAAATAAACACATTTTAATCCACTCCTTGCATGTTCCATCACAGCAGTCTCGATCCATATGGTTCAAGGTGCACATTATCCAAAGATAACTAAATTATTTGGGGCCAATCAGAAAAAAAAGCATCCTTTCCCATTCATGGCAGGTGGAAATAAAATAAAAAAAGTGTATTAACTCACAAATCTGCTGCCAGAGATTCTACCTAATGGTTGGGCTAGTTTTGCCCTTACGTCTTTACATTTTTGTAGTGTCTTGATTTTTGCCTTCCCCCTCCAGTGGTACTTCTTTACAATGGATTATAAAACCTTCTGCCCTTATGACTACATTTTAGATCAGTATATACGCCCAGGCTGATCATGTCCTAATTAGCTTTTATACTGTTGTCAACTAGATAACAAAATAGACTATTTCAAGAGTTTTGACTTCCCACTCTCCCCTCAGGGTTTGGCAATTTTCAGAAGTTGGACATCAGCTGACAGCACTTAAATTGGAAATTAGCTAGGAGCCTTTCCAAAGCCTTGCCTGTGGACCAACTGTACAAGAAGAATTTTAATACTGCCCACATGATACTCCATTAAAAATAAAACATGTGATGATCTTAAAAAGACAAAACAAAACAGAAACATCAGCAATTCTGCCCGAGGAAAGTTTGTGGCATTTAAATCCTAAACATTAATGTTATCATCCTGTACAAGAAACTAATTAACCAAGAATTT